ACAAACAAATCCAAAACATCGCGCCTCGGTCGCCGTCAGCGGAGCATCAGCACTGTAAATGGATTCTCGTCTCTTCAGACAGGCCATTAGATGTATGTATTGTTATATCTAATCTGTTCTTTTTCTACATAATTCTCCCTTCAGCATCTCAGAAAGCACACAGACAAACTCCCAGCGCCTCTATTGTGTTGCAGAGCTTTTCTCATGCATGAGTCAGGGCTGCAGATAATCACATTTTCCTGAGAAAGGCTTAGTCGTGCAAAGTAGCGCAAGTGTCTCTATAAGAGTAAAGAGATGCATTAACAGGAGATGCAGCGTAACATCTTCAGCAGAAGTGCTCTGGGAACAAGTGTCCTCGATTGCAGTTGCAGATGTCTAGAGCAGGAGGTCAATGCAATGCTGATTTTCTGCTCACAACTTTGGAAATATTACAATTTTTAATGCATTTGAGCCAAAAAAAAAGTCTCTTCTGCCCATACAAGCCTGCATTTATTTGATAAAAAAAATACAGTAATATTGTGATATATTATTACAATTTAAAATAATGGTTTTCTATTTGAATATATTTAAAAATGTAATTTATTCCTGTGATTAAAAGCTGAATTTTCAGCATCATTACTCCAGTCTTCAGTCACATGATCCTTCAGAAATCATTCTATGCTGATTTATTATCAATGTTGTGCTGCTTAAGATTTTATATTACCTGTGATGCTTTTTTTTCAGGATTCTTTGATGAATGAACACGTTTTAAAATGGAAATCTTTTTTTGAGATATCAAATCAACATGTAGAATGATTTGTGACTCTGAAGACTGGAGTAATGATGCTAAAAAAATGTAGCTTTGAATCACAGAAATAAATTTGAAATAGTAATGCCTTCAAACTTTTGACAGGTACTGTGTGTGTGTATATATAAATATATATCACAAGAGGTGCAAAAAACTGCAAAAAAAATAAAAATAAATTACACAATATTTACCCAATTTTGACAAAATAACATTTGAAAACAGTAAATGTGCACTCCAATTAGGCATCTCAAATATAATCTGATTAATCAGCCTGAACAACCATACGTAAAACAAGCTCTTTCCCAACATGCATGTGTATGTAATGTCACCACTACAAAAATGATACTTAAAACCAGAAAAAGGTCATTTTGATGGTCCTAAGGTCTCAGCAAACCATCTTAGGCTGTTTTTAAATAGCAGGGTTTCCTTTAAACATCATAAAATAATTATTACGGCTTTTGAGATGCTCTCTTTTTTGCCATCATGGGCACTTGTTGCACACTCTGCATGTTGAGTTCGAGATTATCCAGAAGCAGAATCAGAGTCTCTTACCTTGTGTGACTGAGATGCAGAGTAGCGATGCGTCGCGTCAGTTCCGCGCGTCTCCGTCGCGTTGCGCGTTTGAGCGCAGATGAAGGAATGTGGGTGACCGTGTGAAAGTGGCAACGCTTAACTGGCATTATTTTCTAACTTCCACCCACTCCGAATGGAAACAGCCACTTGTCAATGGCAGAGGAGGTTCTTTCGCGCAGCACAAAGTAGGAACATTTGCATTTCTCCGACCCTCCCCTCGCTTTTCACGGATGGCATTGTGTGGCGCGGTCGGGGTCCTTATTTGGCCCCCGATTAAATCCTCACTGGCCTGCGCTCAAAAAAAAAACAAAAAACGACGTATAGTTATAGCCTGACACATCACGTTAAGACCTAGTATTTACTATATTCTCTTCTGAAATGTGTTGAACGAGACGACACGAATTTACAAAAAACATTTTGGTGCAACAAGTGTCATCGTAAAAAGGAAAAGACACGTGACACCACATTTTGAGGTTCCTCAGACTGACAGAACCCTCTGATGAACATGTCCTTGTCAGAGATCCTCAGATCTTGTTGTATAGTGGCATTAATTGATCATATATCTCAAGTATTTCCTTTGCAGTGTGGGTCTTTAAAGTTCTTGAAGAAACTTAAGGGTTCTTGAGAGAGAGAGAGAGAAAAAAAGGGTTCTAGAAAATTCCTTCAGTCTGACGACATGGATTTTCAAACATTTTAGTATTTAACATTTTGTCTTTTAAAACTCTGTAAATATACATTTTTTTGCAATTTACTTGTGACAGATTAAAGTCTAAAAGGACTATCTTTTTTATGATGCAGTATTAGAAAAACGTTTTAGCAAAATGTTAAAATAGTTTAAATAAAATAGAAGTAAGCTATAGCATGTCAGCAAATCAGTTTCATAATGTTTTGTGGCCTTTGGTTTGTGTCTCTTTAAATCTTTCCAAACCACTTCATAAAATTACACAAATCTGAATAACAAAAATAATCAAAAGAAACGATGGTTTTAAAATTCCTAAATGTCCTCATGTATTAATAAAAACATGGACATTATTTCTAACAATATTTATATATACAAGCTTTCTGCAGTTTACTCAAGGTAAAGGAGTGTGACTGTGACAGATGCATTTCTAAAACAATGTTATTATGACAAGGACATTTTGCATGCACAGAAGAAATAGCAAAATGTTCTTTAAAATTGTATCAGATAAAATAGAATAGCTTGTCATGTTTGCAAGACATTTGACAGGTAAACTACCCAGCTGCATATAAAACTTTGTTTAAAAAATATAATAACATAAAAATGTCCAAATATATTTTGTATTTGCAAGTTATGAAAATAACTTAGAAATATAATACAATATAAAAATAAAATAATCCTAACGATCTCGCCGCAAGATGGCGTTGGAGCCCGCATTCAGAATGCACAGCATTCAAATCCAGTTCTAATGGTTTGAAGCAGAGCCATGGCTCTGGTTTGAAGGTACTGTACTATTATGTAAAAAAGATTATTTATTAGTCGTGTAAGCAAAACGATGCTTAAGCAAGAGGGTAGCAACAGAACAACAGAGACTGACAGATCCGATTAAAGGGCTAATGTTAATGTTATGAGAATAATAAAATATGGGCTATTTTACAGGAAAATACTAAAACGGGAAGACAGCGGGAAAAGAGGCAGTCTTTTCTTTATCCCAACTCTGCTGCTGTATGTTTACATGCGCGAAGCTGCCAACATGGCCGCCACGCCAGTAGACGTCACGACGCCCAAGCTGAAAGTTATGCTAAAAGCGGTAGGTATATTAATATTGAAAAGCAACACAACTTTGTGGCACTGTGACAACCACAGAAGGTAATCTACAGGCATAATGACAATATGATATTAATAAATATCACTTACCATTAGTTAAATGGACTTCGTCGTCGACGATGCCAAGCAGGTTAGTACTATACAACTCCATGGCTAACATGTCTTGCCACTTTGCGCTCATCCAGGCCTCGGGACTGCCGAACAGCATTTTCTTTCTCGGGACACAGCTGAGAGGCAGATATTCAAAGGTTGACCGCCTCCTGTACCCGGTCCTCCATTATGGCGAGACAACAATAACGACTGGGGTCTCGCGAAGTTTAATGCCAAAAACTGCTCTTTTTTCAAAATAAACTTACATTCTAAACTACTTAGACCAATATCTAAGGCTGCATCAAAAGGTAGTTTCGCGTCTGCTGCCATGTTGAATCCATATATAAACAAACTGCTTCGGTGTGTCGCATATGTCGTAATCGTCTTGCTGCTCCCTCCCCGTTCTGTGATTGGTTCCCTAAATCTGGAGGCGAAAATCTGGACCATGGTATCCAGACCATAGATATCCACAGGGCCTGAAATTAACACCCGACCACCTGCGGGTGAATTTTGCTATTGGCAGGTACGGTCAATCTACCTGCCACATTGGCAGGTGGCCAATGAGAATTGAGTGATTCATTAGGATTTTTTACATTTCAACGAAGTCCGCCATTGCGTTGGACTTTAGCTAAAATGTGGCGGGCTGGCGGCACATTACTGGGGTAAAGAGGCCAGCTGAAACGATGTCAAAATGTCCGGTACCCGGTAACTCTACCAGGAATAACAATATTAATTTAGTTCATAGTTAACGGTTCCTGAACGCTGTAACTAAAAGCTGTTAAGACCTGTCTACGTGACTGTGGCGGAGCCTGGGTCAGGTCAGTTTGAGTTTTTATTTAATGGAATTTGTTTACAGTACAGAATACACAACAACATTATTTTGGTTTAATAAACTTTATTTAAACTTGGATTTGAGTGCGCACACTCTTTAACGTGTAGTTTAAGTTTATTCTTACCGTTCTTTTTGTTTGATTGTTTGTTTGTTTGATACAGTCCCGTGAACTGGTGCACCATCAAAAGGGGTTTGAGTGGAAACATTGGACGTATTTATATGGTTCCGGCAGATGATCGGGCCACAACCATTTCGGTTCCTTTTCCCGGTGAACTCCAAGGACTATTTTGCTTGGTTTTCTTTTGTTTGTTTTTATAAGCTCAAATGCTCGCCTTGCTCGGTTATGTGATGCACGTTCGTGACTCTCCTGTTCGAACTCATTCATTAAAATGAACAAATCTTTTTTCGAGTCATTTCTGATCCTGTAACGTTTTCATCAAAAACATTTATTTCTTTTCGACTGAAGAAAAAAAGACATGATGAACATCTTGGATGACATGGTGAGTAAAAATTATCAGCAAATTTTTATTAAAAGTGAACTACTCCTTTAATTACGTTTAATGGATTACACTTTCAATAAAAAAAACGTTTCTAAAAGGTGTTTTTACACGTTGAGGCTGAGATTTAGTTGCATGTACACCGTTCTGGCCAGCCATCGAGTGACGTCTCGAGCACTTCTTCAGAGCTTCGAATAGCTTCGCTTCTCCCATCACTACTACTCGCAGTTGACGTGTCTTTGATGGGCGTGGTCAATATGAGAGGTGTGGCTAAATTGTGGGCGAACTTTTGGCGCATGTTGAACAAGTACTTTGTTGGTTGTGAGTCACCATAGACTGTAAAAAGTTGTGACAGTAGCACCACTGTCTTTTCTAATGAGTAAATTGAGTAATGAGCAATTCTACTTAATTTATATAAAGAATTAAAGGCAGATGTCAAATGCAGTAGATGTATTTTATTAATATATAAAAACAAATGCATACGTATAAACCATGATAAATATGCATATGCGGTATAATCATACAGTAAAATGTTTATATTCATATAGTTTATCATTTTTAAACATAAAGGATATTTTAGCATTCAAACTGGCAGTGGTGATATTTCCTCTGGTAAGAGGGAGACGTTCAGTTCATGGCAGCTCTCCCAACGGAGATATAGCCTTTTTCTTTTTTCTTTTTTCTTTTTTTTTTTTAGAAAAGCTACAGAGCAGCACCATTCACCTGAGATCCATGTTTGGGAGAAAATACTTGAAGAGAAACACAAAACCACATCCGAGTGACGGACAAAAAGCCATGGCCAAGCAGATCATGATGGCTAAATTGTACAATCATTTTATATATGGAGTCATTCCTTCTATGCAGTACATTTCATTACATGTCCCCCATCATATATGTCATAATATACTGGATAAAATCTTCCTTCTTTTATTAGAATTAAATGAACACAGAGGGGAATATCTATAGACCCAAGGAAATCAAATTCAATTATTTAATTTGGTTTTAATCAATATTAATTTTCCTTAGGTCTCAAATTGAAATGTTTTCTTGGGTATATATTATATATGGGGAAAAAATATATAGATTTTTATACTGATAATAGATTTATAGGTCCTCAATATTATTTAGCATCCTGTAAAAATCCTTTTAACTCTCTTTTGTAATATTTTTGCTACAAGTCGGTTTCTGTCGCTCTAAACCATTCAATCCCACTCAACCACAAATCTGTATAATAAACATAATCAAAATACGAAGAGAAATTAAGTTGACGTTTTCATGTAAACGGTCAGCAATGACTAACTTTAGCTCTATTTTCATAAGTGCCTGAGTTTGACCGGAGCAGATTTCTGAATATCTGATATATGCCGTGTTGGGTGTGTAACGAATGACAAATAACACGAGTTGTATGTAATCAGGTCACTTTTTTCAAGTAACTAGTAAAGTAAATTTACAACAGAGTTACTTTTTTTTAAATAAGTAATGCAAGTTACTTTGTTTTCAGTATTCCTCAAAATGAATAAAAACAGTGAAATGATGAAGTAACAGTGTTGTACTTTTTGAGTTTGTTTGAGCGGTGCCCTCTACTGTACAGGCATGCATTTGCATTTCCTTCAGCCTGATGCTTATTCATTTCACTTTTGGTGTGAATATATAAATACAGCTTTTTTTGTAATTAAAACTCAAACTAGGAAGCCCACCCCAGGAGAGAAACAACATTATTTCCCACAAAAGGTAACTAAGTAACCCAGTTAGTTACTTTTTTTAGGGAATAACACAATATTATAATGCATTACCTTTTAAAAGTGACTTTCCCCAGCACTGAATATACGCTTTTATATAAAAAAAAACCTTTCTGAACATCCGTACTGCAGAACAGGAATGACCCTTGAATGAGGCCTGGGATTACGTGATCAATGATTCCACAGCTTTATGACAGCAGAGTTTTCGCTCCGTGAAAGGACATAAGGATCGTCCCGTTACAGGGTGGAGTCATGTCTGATGGTAGTGGTGGTAGTGGTGATGATGATGATGTTCGTGATGATGGTGGTGTTCATGCCGCTGGACCACAGGACGCATGAAGCCGGCGTTCTGCTCGCGGTCCGGCGCTGGTGAGGGTTGTTTTGAAGGAGACAGGGCTTGTTCTCTGGCTTTGGCTCTCACTCTCTTGCTGTGACTGTGCTGGAGAGGGTGTTGGTGACCCGACGGGGCTTGAGGCTGGTTCTGCTGGGGTAGATGGTACACATCCTGAGCCCCTGAGACATGCATGGAGGGATAGTAGCCATGGCACTTGCTGATTTTGGCCGCGGCCTGGCCGCCAGCTGCTCCTTTGGACGTCCCCTTGGGGGATCTGATGAACTGAGGGCCGCTGCGCACGCGGGGATCCAGCGCCACACAGTGATCGGACATGACCTGAGACCGGCGCTGATGGGCCTGTGTCTCGGGCTCGTGGGACCGGGAACGACTCTGGTTGTGTGGAGGCCGTGAGGCTGGCTCTTGTTGGGCCGCAGGAGGAGAGGTACCTTTGCAGAAAGAGAACATTTATAATATATAAGATAATATTTTAATAATATATAAGAAATAATAATATATAAATTAATATTTAATAATATATATGATCATATTTTAATAATATATAAGATAATATTTAATAATATATAAGATAATATTTAATAATATATAAGATAATATTTTAATAATATATAAGATAATATTTTAGCACTTTCATAGACCCCCATTGGCTATATAAATGCAGTCCAAAATTTTATAAAGGATCAGCACAATGAAACATATTTTTTTAATAAAGAATCAGAATAAAATTAAGATATTTATATTTTGTAAATAGGGCTATGCAAAGATTAATTGCGATTAATCATATCCAAAATAAAAGTTTTTGTTGTTTAGATAATATATGTGCTGTGTATAATTATTTAATTATTATAAATACATATGCATGCATGTATACAGTATATTTAAGAATTATTTGCATGTAAATAATGTATATATATATATATATATATATAAAAATATTTGATATATGAATAACACATTTTCTTAAATATATACATGCATGTGTGTAAACATACACTTTTATTTTGGATGCGATTAATCGCAATTAATCTTTGCACAGCCCTATTTGTATAGTATAAGTACAATAACACAATTAATGAATACTATGTGATATTCAGAATTAAAGAAATTATATTTTATAAGGGGTCAGCACACTAAACAATTAATTTCATATAATCTTTTACATAAAGGATCAGAAGAAAATTAAGATATTTATATGTTTAAAGGATCAGCACAAATAACTTTTTTAAGGAATAATATATTGGATAAAGAAAATGAAGCCTGATTTTAGGGAAATTAATAAAAAAAAAATAACCAGCAGGACAAATACTACCATGATGAGGACTTAAAATAATATCATGCTATTTCTTTTGCATTGCAGTCATGAGATTTTTATGAGGGGGTGAGCATAATGTATGAAAATAACGACAAATAAAAGTAATAAATTATTGTCCTAAAATGCACATATATTTATTCATGCAAAATCCTAATTTTCTTTTAATTTTGTGGTGAAATGCAACATTTCCTGGTGTGTTTTGTGAGACACCCAGTGTAATACACAACTCACTCGTGTCAGTGTTAAAGATTGTTTTTCTTTGCTATCATGCACACGTTCAGGAAAATCTTACTGTCAAATCTGGAGGTGTAGTTCTCTATTCCAGCCAGATCCAGGTAATGATTTCTTCTTTCTGTGTTCTCATCCACGCAATAGTGATTCCTCTCGTGAGCTTCATCAGGCTGACCTCTGTCACATCACCGGAAAAAAACATCCATCATGCGTTAATACAGCACATGCGGACATATATACGGCAGTATAGTGAAGTTCCAGCATGCATGTTAGACATGCAACACAATACTAGATCTCTCACATTATAATCCACAACTGCACCCAAAACAACCCACCCACTCTTTTGCAATTTCCCAGCATGAACATTAGCAGCTAACCTGATGTGTGTGTGTTGCCGTCTCTCCTCTGTGTGAGCCGATTCGATGCGACTCAAACGACTCGCTTCTTTCTCTGAAGAGGGATCAAAGGAAGTTAGGTTCAAACAAAGTGAAGTTAAGTTGTTTATGGTTGCTTTGAATGATTCTTATTCGATCGTGAACTATAACAGTGTGACTGAAGTGTTTGATTCATTTGTTATGAATCATCTGATCTTTTGGGTTGTTTGTGTCCATATAGACAGAAACCAAATGTATTTATTTGTGCACAATAAAACCTGTGATAATAGAGTAAATAAATAACATTGCGATTAATATTGTGATATTACTCTCTGCCATAATTTTGTGTATTGCGACAATGGACCCATAAATTATCCAGCTGAAATAAAAAAAATTACATTAAAAGGATATGGCAGATGCTTTTATCCGAATTTAAGGTTTGCATTTGATCAGTTCGTGCATTCCTAGGGAGTTGAACCATTGACATGTGGTTATAAATGTACAGTCTGTGTGTTTTGCAGAGTCGCACCGGTCCCGGCGTGTGTCCCGTCCCTCCTGCGAGCTCCAGGCTCTGGAGAGACCGTCAGCTTGACTCGGAGGGTCTTTGGTTTGCTTTTACACGAGTGATTGACGGAGGCATCCACCACATCATAGATGGTGTGCATCAGACTGGACATGTCCTAACACACAACACACACCACACATCATGAATGCATTCTCATTCTCATGCATTTTAATGAATGTCAGGTGCTGAACGTGTATTAGCAAGTTTGTTTACGGCAGGCTGGTTCATAATCATTGATCTGCATTTATTAACAGGTTTCAGCATTAATATTGCATGAACAAGCATGCAACACACTAGTGCATGACATGTGCAACACACTGCTTCACTTAAGGCTGATACACTGAAGTAGATATTTTACCTCCTTCGTGACTTTTCCACTGTTGTCAAAATCGTAGAGGGTAAAGACCCACTCCTGCCTGTTGTCGTCAACCAGCGACACGTTACACTCCAGATCCTGAGAGATCAGAAAACACACACACATGCAGTTACACACATGACCAGCAGGAGGCTGTCAACAACCGTCACAGAAATGATTCACTCAAAACTGAAAACATGTCATTTTGATTTCTTTGCTTAATTTGACAATGCAGAATAACATTACTGCACAGAGTTGGCAGCTAAAAACAGAATAAATGTAAATAAAATATAAATATAAGATTACAATAGGTTAAAATGCAAACTAAATGAAAATCAGACAAGTAGGAGTTTGAAAATAAAAAACTGAACTAAAGAAAAATGAAAACTAAATAGTCATTCAAAAATAAAGAATAAAAATGACAAAGCACAGACAATTACTAAAACTGTATAGTATGTATATGTAGTGATTACTTTCATTTCTGGCGTTATGGCATTCCTGCACTGTGTCGGAGATCAGTCACAAACATGATCCCTGCACGATCCCATCTATAGCGTCTTATTAACTCACTGTCATTGTCTGCAACACATTTTTTCTCCCTCTTCATCTTTCTGCCATTTTCTCCTCTGCCTCTTAAAAGTCCTCATCCGTACTCCTAACAATTTTGAACTTAAGACCTTTTTTAAGGGTTAAGATGCTTTCTGAATTACTTTTTTCTTTACTAGGATTTTGTCTTTAATTTTAAGAGTAAACGCCCACATTTCTAAGAATTTTCTTCGAATTTTTTCACTAGGAATGACTCTTTGCAGTAAGATTTTTTTATGAATATGGGCCCAGGTCACTGCATTCAGCTTCTGTTTCTTGCTTGGCATGAACTTACATTCAGACTGATGCGCTTCTTCCCTTTACAGGTTTCCTTCAGGTCTCTCTCTCCATCTTCAGACGGCAGAAACTGAAGAAAACGCTCACATCCTTCAGACTTTTCTGGAGGCAAAATCACTAAACACACATAAACAGAGACAAATCCAGTTCCAGTACAAATATCTAAACAATCCAATATCAAGTTACATTTACTTGAAAAAAAATGACTTCGAGGAATAGTTCACCCAAATAATAGACAGCTATGCAGGTTCATAATGAGATTGTAAAAATTATTTTTATGAATTGAGTGGATTAGTCCCAAATTTCAGAGGAGACTCTCCTTATGAACTTTCTGAAGCGTAGCTGTCAATGGAGGGACAGAAAGCTCTCAGATCTCATCAAAAAGATCTCCATTTGTGTTCTCAAGATGAACTAAAGTCTTATGGGTTTGGAACAACATGAGGGTGAATAATTAATGACAGAATTATCCGAAAATTTTAAAATTTACCTGATAAATCAAAATTAAATACAAGAACAAATATCTGTCAATGGGGTCAGAAAAGTCTTGTTTTCCTGTTGAATTAAAGGATTTTCTCCATATAATGGACTTCATTGGGAACCAAACGGTTCAAGGTCCAAATGAGACTTTCAGTGCAAACTGTTCAAAGGGCTTTAAACGACATTAGACGATGAATAAGAGTCTTATCTAGGACCCTTCGAGTCATGACTCGAAAAAGATTTGTTCATTTTGATGAACGAGTTCGAACAGGAGAGTCACGAATGCGCATCACAGAACAGCAAGGCGAGCATTTGTGCTTATAAAACGTAAACTTTTTTATTTATTTCTCAAATGACCAATCGTTTCGCTTGATAAGACCCTTATTCATCGTCTGGAATCGTTTAAAGCCCTTTGAAGCTGCACTGAAACTCTCATTTGGACCTTGAACCATTTGGTGCCCATTGAAGTCCATTATATGGAGAAAATCCTGGAATGTTTTCATCAAAAACCTTCATTTCTTTTCGACTGAAGAAAGAAAGACGTGGACATCTTGGATGACAAGGGGGTGAGTAAATTATCAGCAAAAGTTTTTTTTAAAAAAGTCAACTACTCCTTTAAGCTGATTTTCTGACCCCACCGGCAGATATTCGTTCTTGTTGTAAAATCAACATGAAATCAAAATGTATTTTTTATGAAATATTGCATGATTTATTTTTTGCACAACATTATTTTTTTTCTCTCTCTCTTGCAACATCTGTCAACCTGTCACTCACATGAGATCCACCAATAGCCAGTCCCTCCAGAAAAACGCGATTATGCGATCGCTGAATTCAATGCAAAATCAGCCAAAGTCCGCATATTTATGTGGGGGCCGCATTTTTTCAAATACGCCGCACTTTCGCCGCATAAATTGCCGATTTCCGTGCAAAATATGCGGGGTTTGCATAATTTCATAATCCTCGCTGCAAAAAAAGTTTTGTTGCAAAAAAAGTCACATGTATCTTAGCAGAAAGTTGAAAAATGTTGCGTTTGCTTCACACAAGAGCAGCCATTTACCCCTGTTTCCATGGGAACGTTATGAAGTGACGCAATTACGCGACGCCAGACAGACTCACGGAGGCGATTGACATCTCACAAATCGAACTCGTATAACTGTCTGTCACACGTTCTACCGTCACATCGTTACTTAATAAACAACATAAGATAAAAGAAGTAGCATCAAACAGAAATTACCCGCACACATGGGGCGTTCGAGACGCACATATAACACTGCAGAGAGTTCAACAGGGAGCGCGCAGCTCTTAAAGGGGCCACACCTTATTTACACTCGTTATAGTCTGAAATAAAACAAGATGAGAAATTAAACATTCCCAGCACTTTCTATGATGTAGTATTCTTGCTTATCAAAGGAAGTAATAAGAAATAACTCTTACATTAGCCTAGTGAGAACAGGATGTAGGGGGAATCACTTTTTTCTCTTTCTCTTTTTCATCAAACCGCAATTTTTACAAGTTCCCTCAATTTTTGCAAATTCCTACAATTTCATTGCATAAATATCCCGCATATTCCATTGCGTTTTAAAAGAAAACGGGCCGCGTAATCAATCAATTTTTGCCCGCAACAATCACAAAAAAACTCTGCGTTTTTCTGGAAGGACTGAAAACTAAAACTATTATGGTAAATATTATATATAAATGTCGCAAATTTTTCACAAATTTTTGGAAATTACCACCACAAAATCAGGCCTTTTTTTTTTGCAAAAATCACAAAAAAAAAATCGTGAAATCCTGGAGGGACTGAATAGCAAACCACAACCATCCAATCAATTCCCCACAGACAAAATCACGCCCCGCCCTACGTTTGTTGCTTTCACTCAGATATACCACAAAATCTATTTTTTACAGTCTATGATCGCAACTTCAGTTTCATACCACTCACATCGTTTTGATAAATCTCTCAGAGAAAAAGACACCATATCTTGTCATTGTACATCTCCATTCTCAAATAGCTCAATGAGATATTTGTACTGGAAAAGAAGACACATATTCAAACAGCACAGCTGTGTGTGAATACACACCCTGTAGAGGGCAGCGGTGTCCGTCCTTCAGCTCACAGTCCTGCAGCTCCTGGAGGAGAAACACAGATCAAGAGAGGTGTTAGTTCAATACCCAGAAACCACAACGCCTCCATCTGAAGCATTTCCTCCTCAGGGACGGAAAAACCATGATAGTGTCGCAGGAGATTAAATCTCACTGCAGAATACCTTCCACCTTCCACCCAAAAGCAACAGAGAGAAACAGTCGAGTTCCTGAAGAAAAAAAACGTAATCCTATTAATTTTCTCCATAGAGAATTGCACACTATTGGTGCTGCGTTGTAATAGTGCTGACCATAATTGCATTTGTGCATTTGGCAGCTAGACACTTTTATTTGATCAGTTCATGAAATACTTTCATATTTACTCCATTATGTCTCATCTACCACGTTTCCTTTTCTCTGGTGATTTCAGAGATTATGATTAACATTAACATGAAAAATGTGGGGGTTTTGTTTCTAAAGTATCACATGGAAGTAGTTAAATCCAGGAATACGCCTGACACGGAGACCGAAGCAGATGAGACTGAGGTCTGTCATAATCACCATCAGAAACAGACTAAATCATCTGCAACCACAAAAATGCACCACGGTACAACGGTGTACAAATCCCAACCTGCTCGTGTAAGATAAGCAGTCAACCACAACCATGTTCATGAAGTCTCCTATGCTAATATTGCGAAATATTATTACCATTTAAAAAAAAACATTTTCTATGTGAATATATTTTATGTAATTTGATCAAAGCTGAATTTTCAGGATCATTACTCCAGTCTTCTTCAGTCACATGACACCAAAACATTTCTGATTATTAATATTGAAAACCAATGTCACTGAAAATGACATTATAAATGTCTTTAACTTTTGATCAATTTATTGCATCCTTGAATGAATTTCTTCTTACTGACCCCAAACTTTTGAACAGTAGAGTATAGATATAGATATAGTGTAGATATAGTATAGATACACACAACAAATGCAAACCTGTTAATATCAATGATTTGAACGTTTAGTTTTTTTTAAAATTAGAATTCAAATTACAAACATACAAGCATCACAGTTCGTAAACAAATATTATATATCGAAAAATAAATAAACACCAGAATAAAGTTTATATTAAAAAAATTGTAATTAAATAAATCAAAATAATAAATCAAAAATCTATAAAAAAAAAAAAAAATCTAATTTTCAATTGAACAATTTAGAGTATATATCAGTTACTGGCACAGTTTTTTTTATTATTAACCCGTTTAAGAGATTCAATATATATATATATATATATATATATATATATCAGTTTTTAAAATTTTAAACATGGCCTTGCTTGACTAGCTTTATGAATATGGAATTATTTAACCTAATAAAATAAAGAGATTTACATATTACTAGGGCTGTCAAACGATTAATCGTGATTAATCGCATCCAAAATAAAAGTTTGTCTACATAATATATGTGGGTGCACTGTGTATAATTATATTGTATATATAAATACACACACATGCATGTGTATTTAAGAAAAAAAAATAAATTATATATAAATGTTAATACAGTATATACATGAAAATATTTCTTAAATATATACAAGCATGTGTGTTTATTTATATATATAAAATAATTATACACAGTGGACCCACATATATTATGTAAACACAAACTTTTATTTTGGATGTGATTAATCGCGATTAGGGATGGGACGATAACCGGTTTCACGATAAACCGTGATAAAATGTACTGACGGTTAGTATTATCGTGTAAAATTTAATTATCATTAAAACCGTGTTTGATTATCGCGATTTTAATAACTCACTGAATCCTGTCGGCCAGTCTGACGCAGCACGCAATATTTTTTTTAATTACTATTCGAGAAGGAATGGTGGAAGGCAGTGACCGTGCTCAGGAGATTTTTCAGCCTTTTAAGAGGACCAAATCTGAGGTGTGGTCAGACAAAAGTCCCGAGGGAAACTTGATCGAGGATGGTCACCCTGATTGCCGAACAAAAATCGCTGCAGTAGAAACCCTTCAAATCTGCCGAGTCGTCTTGTGTGACCATCACCCGAACGCAAGGCAAGTTAACTTTGACCTTAATACCAAAACTACGTCTGGGAAACAATTGGGCACAAAATGTTGTTTTGAGTTGAAACATTTTATGTCACTCACTTGAAATAGACGTGAAGCTCCCGCGAAGAAAAGTTCGTAGCGAGTGGATTTAAGCCAAAGACGAACGAACAACTTCAAACAAGACTATTATTAAGAGTGATATTTTAAGGGATAGTAAAGTATAGATACATCACGTATTAAACCGATTTTATTTATTACGAAGACATATTGAATTGATAATGAGATTAGCTAATGTTTTAAATCTTGAATTCATTTTGTAAAACAATCGTCCAGACAAGACATATCACACCAATATTATCAAACTCTGTAAACAATAAATCAACTCTAATTTCATTTTTGCAATACAATCAAAAACCGGAGACGCAAGACGGCAAGTTGTATTTGAATGAAACAAGAGCGCGCGTCCGTTGTGATATAGATGTGCGCTGTGTAATAATGCGTTGCTATTGACGACGGGCATTATAAAGAAGCAAATGCCATAGAATAGAATCTTGCTTTAAAAACTGCATAGAGAGGCTTGTTTTATTTGTTGTTTGTTGATTTTCAATTATAAAACTTGTTGAAATGTTTTCAGTGTGAGCATCAGTTCTTTTTGAGCACTTTCATAAATTTTTAACAAAACCGTGATAATATTGATAATCACGATTATTTTGGACACTATAATCGTGATATGAAATTGTCATACCGTCCCATCCCTAATCGCGATTAATCGTTTGACAGCCGATCTCTACAATCAAATTACAACCCGAATTCCAGAAAAGTTGGGACGTTTTTTAAATTTGAATAAAATTAAAACTATACGACTTTCAAATCACATGAGCCAATATTTTATTCACAATAGAACATAGATAACATAACAAATGTTTAAACGGAGAAATTGTACACTTTTATCCACTAAATGAGCTCATTTCAAATTTGATGCCTGCTACATGTCTCAAAATAGTTGGGACGGGGACACGTTTACCATGGTGCAACATCTCCTCTTCTTTTCAAAACAGTATGAAGACGTCTGGGCATCGAGTTTATGAGTGTCTGGAGTTTTGGTGTTGGAATTTGGTCCCATTCTTGCCTTATATAGGTTTCCAGCTGCTGAAGTGTTCGTGGTCGCCTTTGACGCATTTTTCGTTTAATGATGCGCCAAATGTTCTCTATAGGTGAAAGATCTGGACTGCAGGCAAGGCCAATTCAGAACCCGGACTCTTCTACGACGAAGCCATGCTGTTGTAATATCTGCAGTATGTGGTTTTGCATTGTCCTGCTGAAATACACAAGGCCTTCCCTGAAATAGACGTTGTCTGGAGGGGAGCATATGTTGCTCTAAAACCTTTATATAGCTTTCAGCATTCATAGTGCCTCCCAAAACATGCAAGCTGCCCATACCGTATGCACTTATGCACCCCCATACCATCAGAGATGCTGGCTTTTGAACTGAACGCTGATAACACGATGGAAGGTCTCCTCTTCTTTTGTCCGGAGGACACGGCGTCCGTGATTTCCAACAAAAATGTCAAATTTGGACTCGTTTGACCATAGAATACTTTTCCACTTTGAAATAGTCCATTTTAAATGAGCCTTGGCCCACAGGACACGACGGCGCTTCTGGACCATGTTCACATATGGCTTCCTTTTTGCATGATAGAGCTTTAGTTGGCATCTGGAGATGGCACGGCGGATTGTGTTTACCGACAGTGGTTTCTGGAAGTATTCCTGGGCCTATTTAGTAATATCATTCACACAATCATGCCGATGAGTGATGCAGTGTAGTCTGAGGGCCCGAAGACCACGGGCATCCAATAAAGGTCTTCGCCTTTGTCCCTTACGCACAGAGATTTCTCCAGTTTCTCTGAATCTTTTGATGATGTTGTGCACTGTAGATGATGAGATTTGCAAAGCCTTTGCAATTTGATGTTGAGGAACACTGTTTTTAAAGTGTTCCACAATCTTTTTACGCACTCTTTCACAGATTGGAGAGCCTCTGCCCATCTTTACTTCTGAGAGACTCTACCTCTCTAAGACATCCCTTTAATCATGTTACAGACCTGATATCAACTTAATTAGTTGCTATAGATGTTCTCCCACCTGAATCCTTTCTAAATTTCTTGCTTTTTCAACCATTTGTTGTCCCCGTCCCAACTATTTTGAGACCTGTAGCAGGCATCAAATTTGAAATGAGCTCATTTAGTGGACTAAAGTGTAAAATTTCTCCATTTAAACATTTGTTATATTATATATGTTCTATTGTGAATAAAATATTTGCTCATGTGATTTGAAAGTCGTATAGTTTTCATTTTATTCAAATTTAAAAAACGTCCCAACTTTTCTGGAATTCGGGTTGTAAGTAATAATCTGTTTCCCTTCAAGCGTTATTGTATTATTTGTTTTAAATGACAAACAACGTTCAACATTTGGTACCAATGAGGTATGATTCTTGTTCTGTCTTACAAAAACTGTTTAAATTTTAAAATGAGCAAGTTTGTGGGATATATAGTGTGTAATATTTTCAAATGTAATTCCCTAACTTTGTTTATGATACAAAATCTAAAAGGAACAAGCCACGCCCTATGCAAATCAATCTCATAAAAAAGAGAATTCCAGAAATCACTGATTTTTATGCTGGAAACCCTTTCTGACACAGTCATCAACGCCCAAAGAGAACCTCCGAGAGGCGGGTCCAGGAATCCAATAAGCTGTATTGATTTCAAACGGATCCGCCTCCAGGTTTAAACACAGAACGCAACACTGAGACGATTTCCAGCCGCAGAACGGCCATGTTTTCTCTAAAGTCACGTGTCTGAGAGGCATGAAAGCTCAGTGAACTCATTACCACCCAGAGCAACAGATGCATCCCAGAGAACACTGCATGCAGGATCTGACCGCCCACTGCATTTTAAAGGCTGACACATGGTATTTTACCC